GATACTGCGATGATTCTCCATCTATAATTCTAACAGACAGAATAACGTTTTTTTCCCAATTTCACTTTTTGGATAGAAGGTGTGCTACCCGTGTTCCTATTTTATGTTGCACTTTTTGGCAACCCCTTGCTCTTCAAGGACTGTGATACACCTGCACCTTGCACCCTGGGAAAAATATCTGCTGATGCCCTTGATTAACACCCGTGAAGACTAGATTCTGAGTGGCTTCATCAAATGTCGCATGTTCGTTTGCCCAGATACCAGACCAGCTCAAGGAGAGACCAAGTATTATCCGAACTTCACTAATATATCAGCAAAAACCCAATATTCAAAAGCCATTGAGATTTTATACAGTAGAGAGCCTAGGAACGCCACTGGACGTTGCATTATGCTATTCCGATATAAAGGCCCTTCTTTATCTACAACCCACGCAGAAAGATGGACGTAAGCATTGTGAAATATTGCTACCAAGCTATCAATATCTACGGGGTACATCCCGAAAAAACCGGAAGCAAGGTCCAATCGTTCCTCTTTTACTTTTTCCTTACCCAATACGGTACCATGATCTATTTGGTGAGCGTGCTCTTTTACACCAGTGGACATCTGATGCTCTTAGAGAAGATTGATATTTTTACCAACATCATGCTGCAGGTACATGTGAGTACTTTGAAAACTACTCTAAACAACTTTTCACCAGTCGACTCGAACTGACCCCTAAAGGATAATTTTTTGCTTCAAAAAAAAAGGTCAATTTGGAATCTCTTCACGATCATATTCGCATTTCTTCACAAATAATGATGCGGGTACGTTCAGAATGACTTCGGTTTCAGCGTCCTAAACGTACGGTATTTGAAGCATTTCAATGTTTAGACTGCTCGGACAGACAATAAAAGAAGAATAAGTATGGATGGCAAAACCATCTCCTTTGGTTCCTAATGCTTTACGTATGAGAATTTGGGGCGCACGAAAATGATTAGTTTTTGTCATAATGTTATATATATTTTTAGGGCACGCTTTACCTAATATGCCTCTATATCAAAAGACCAAAAATAGCTGCTCTTGTATCAGATATGAAGAAGAGATTTTGGAGCATTGAAGATTATGATCATCCTTTACTTAAAAAGGAGTGCAATGAAACTGTGGAATTGCTGAGAAAAAAATGCACATACTATGTGGTTATAATGTTACTATGTGCTTTTGCCTTTTTTTATGGTAAAATTATCCAAGATGGTAGGTGAGGCATGTCTCCTCAGGTAAACAGTTTCTAAATGCTGACTTTTTGTATGTATTGACTCGTCAAAGCTATACTCAGCGAAAATAGAACACTCAGGAAAAATGATTTTATTCAAATAAAATTTTTTATGCAGTTTGACATGAGCAAAAGAAAATGTGATTAAATTTTGAATTGACAACAACTGTTGTTATGGCAGGATTTCCCTAATAGACTTAGGCCTGATGCGTTGTACATTTATCCAATCGTCGGGGCATGCTTCTGGGCAGATGATTTGTCTTCTTGAGGTATTTCATCCCAAGCTAGTACTAGGTTCCGATAAGTTGCTATCGTTTGTGGAGGATGAGGTAAAGAGGTCCTATCATGTTCATATATTCAATGGGTAAAAGGTCTGCAGATCTACAAGGCCAAGAAAGGGGGCTGACTGAAGCGTCTTCTTGTATTTAATTCTATTTGCACACGTATTCCCTCTCTAGAGTCCGTGTGGCTTCCCCCTTAATATTAAATGTTATTCCGTCCGTTATAGTTCTAGCCTGGGTTTTAGCAATATGGGACGGGCATTATCTTTTTAGAAAATAGGCGGTTGGAAGAATGGCAAATATGGGGTCATAGCGCGCCTAATGGAAGCCAGATAGTCCTATCAGGGGGGGACACTCTCTGCAAGCGCTTGAGCTTTGGACCCATATTTAAGCAGTTATTACTGAAGTTACACTCTGATGTTAAATCTCGAGCTTGGCATGAACCTGCTGTCAAAATTGCTGATTGCTATTTGAATTTACAAGTTTGACCTCAAAAATGACCTTCAAGAGCAGGGGTCGGCAACTTGTGGCTCGCGAGCCGCATGCGGCTCTTTTGATGTCAAGTTGCGGCTCTACAGTTCATAGTAAATCCTCTCAACACGAATATAAATATACTAAGTGACATATAAATCCGAACACCCAGTTTAAATGGTTTTATTTTAAAAAAATTTTGTATAAGTACTTAATGAAGCATAATAAGTAAATGATAAAAATTTCAAAATGATTGCACTGCTTAAAGCCCTTTGACCTTTAATAATGTGTGGATGCACCCTGATGTGCTACGCATTCTCCAACGCGCCTAGGCATGCTTCTGATCAGGTGGTCAATGTCCTCCTGTGGTATCTCATTCCAGGCAACCACCAACTCCTCTCGAAGTGCTTCTAGAGTCTGAGGAGGACGTTGCAAATTGAGCAATCTCCTACCCATCATATCCCACACGTGCTCAATTGGGGATAAGTCGGGAGATCTTGGTGGCCATGGTAACAATGTGACATCATTATGTTGAAAGAAGTCTATTGTGACTCTTGCAACATGTGGTCGGGCATTATCTTGTTGGAAAGTTGGATCTGCCAGGGTGTCAAGATAGGGTAAAAGATGGGGTTCTAGAACTTCGTGGATATAACGCTGCGCGTTCATGTTACCTCTGATGAAGATTAAAGGTGGCCTGGAACCATAAGCTATAGCACCCCAAACCATAACTCAAACAGTGTGATGAACATGTCTTTCAACAAAAAACTGTGGATTGCATGCATCCCTAAACAAAATCGAGACTCGTCACTAAAGACAATACTGTTCCATTCCTGATCCCAGAGTGACCGTTGTCTGCACCACTCAAGGCGATTACGTCGGTGTTCTCGAGTTAAAGGGAGGACCCAGTGTGGCCGGTATGAAAACAAGCCAAAACTTCTCATTCGTCGGTAAACACTTCGCATGCCAATAGGTCTTCCGTGTTCTGCAAACCATTCATTTGCAATGGACCTGGTAGTGGAGAAACGGTCCCTTAAGGCCAATAATCTTAGGCGGCGATCTTCACGGTCTGTTGTTCTACGGCGGCGTCCAGTGCCCCTTGCTCTTTGCGTGCGGCGTTCTCGAAGCCATGCCTGACAACACCTAACCACAGTGTCTACACTTCTTTGCACTCTAACTGCAATTGCCCGAAAAGAAAGTCCCACTATACGGCCCCTATCAAACTCACTAGTTGACGAAATCGTACAGGTCTCCGTACTCTAGGCATCGTAACCGATCGTAAAGGATGTCAAGAACCAAAATCCGCCAACGTTGATTCTTTACTGCGGCTGAAATATTCATTTTTAGAGCGTTAGTGAATTCAAAAAAAGCAGTATAAAAACCGGAATGTCTAACTGATAAGGTTGAAAATTTTTTCACTTGTTATTTACAGTAAGATAAATACATTCACCAACTTTTATTAAAATAAAAACATTTAAACTGGGTGTTTGGATTTATATGTCACTTAGTATAGGATCAACATTGAGCCATTTGGAATGAGTGCTGGTTCGTTTCAAATGCAATTGCTGGTTTTTGTAAATACTAGCTTCTCCGTCTCAAAAGGTTGCCGACCCCTGTTCTAGAGTCATCGCTTAGGTCATATTTGAGCTTACCGACGAATTGCTTTTTAGATCCTTTTTGTCTAAAAAATGGCAAGTTTTCGGGGTGCTCAGGTATTTAACATTGTTGATTGAATAAAGGCTTTTAAAGTGAACTTTTCACTACAAACATCCATGCATCCTTCCTACACCCCATTATTTTACACCGCGCTATGTATGCACTTTTAGGTCAACCGATAACTGACAACCTGGTTTTCAAATCCCACATTCCGAGATTCTTCGACTTTTGGGCCATGTTTGTGTGGGAACATATCCCAGCAAGCGGTTTGGTACTACTCGAAACATCTTTAGACATTATAGTACTCAATATCTTGACGTTGACTAGACTGCAGTTCAAACTGTTGAGGTATGAGGTTGAGAACATTTTCAGCAGTGAGAGAAACGGGGATTTTAGTTTGAGGTTTAGAAGATGCAATGATCACCATACTTTTCTTCTGGGGTGAGTTAAAAACATACAGGGTGCTATAGTCAAATACCAGAATTGATGACAGTAGCAGAAGTCATCGTGTGCCACTACTTTGACGCGGTACCGACGGTTGCCGACATTGCAAAAGAAGTAAAGAAGCGCCGCATTTTCGAAGGCCTCCGCGTAATAGCAGCGGCGTACGATTAGTTTCGCTACTGTCATCAATTTTGGTATTTTACTATAGCAGAGTGTCTGAACAAACTTCCATGGGTGGTCCTTGAGGTAAATCTAGGAGGAAAAGCAAAAATAGGTCCGATAAGGCTGCATCTTCAAGATACAGAGCAGCAAACTTTTTTGGGAAATTTAGATTAAATCGAATATGGAAATGTGGACAGAAAATCCAAACTCCCGAAATGATTAAAAATACGAATTTAAATTCCCGATGACCTTGAAAGGGACCAGAACCTAAAAGCGGCGACCCTGGAATTAAATCAAATTTCAAGTTGATCGCGACTATGAGATACTAAGCACAAAACATATATAAAAATAAAACGGTCACGTTAAAAACGAAAAGAAGTCTCACTATAATTGCGTATAGATTTGCTTCAAGTTTTGTTTTTATTGTGAGCAAAATAATAAAAAATACGCAGATAAATGTTCGAAAAGTTTGGACAAAAATACCAAAATTGCGAACTTTTAGCCTTTAAAGGACAAGCATATACTAAAAGTGAAACGTTGACGAAAGCCTAAAACACTTATGTTCTAAAATATTTAAATGCAAGAATTACATACATACGTTCAACTTGGAATTTGAGTTACTTTAAGGGCCAAAAACCCCGCATATAGTTTGCAGGTCTGATCCAATGTGACTTATAAAAAAATGAAAAATATGACTATAACTTAGATCCTTTTATTTTTTTCTCATATTGTCACTATAGTTTCAGGGCCATGGTAAACGAAACATTTTCTTCACTGATGTTAATATACATGGGTGTTGTCACATTGATCATATGTATTGAAATATATACCATGATAACAATGTAAGTAATGCTGCACACGACTAAAAAAAATCCTGAGAATCGTTTTTCAGGGATTCTACTGCTGACATACTTGCCGCTATTCTATACGCAGCTCAAATGTTCTTTGAGTTTTTCATCTGTTACTGCTTTCCTGCTCAAGATCTGACGAATGAGGTGAATAATTCATCATTTCAATACGATTTTGATTGTAATTATAATTTTCTGACCAGAACATGTAAACATGTGTGTAGGTTTGAGTTTTTACTTAGTTTGCCTTTTCCCACGAAGACTAGAGATGGGAGGTCAAACTGCGTAAGGGATAAACCCTATTCCACGAGTATCCATCACGTTTTGACGTCTACCGAGGTGAACAGCTGATCAGCCAATGACATATTTGTATTAGTCTGTAACTCTGGCAATAATACTTCGGGTATAAATATAGTACTTTTCTAAATAAAACAGTGGTTAGAAATTACAGAATGAATCTGTAGCGTACAAAAAGCCAAAACAAAATACGCCTCTATCTACCTGGCGTTGAATTATGTGTCATTTATTCGTATGGGGAATTTTGTGCATTTTGTAAGTTTATTACATCGTGGTTTATTTATGTTATCTAATATTTTTGCTTGCAACTCGCCCGAACTGCCAAAATTGGAGTTGTTTACAATCATGAAGACAGCAACAGAGAGAGAGAGAGAGAGAGAGAGACGCCACATGCGCATAACCTGAAATTGATTTCTTGCGCAGTATACACACGAGAGAGATGCTCTATGCGCAGCGTCTGAAATTCATTTGCTGCGCAGCATAGCAACTCATTATATCGTCGACACTTTTGGCTTCACGCCCACTCCATGAGGCTAATCTCCTATCTCTAGTCTTCATGCCCTTTTCAAACTAGGAATCGAATCACTGACCTTGATGACAATAGCCTCTTCAACGCGACAAGCGAGTATAGGGTTTTCTGTTGTTTTAGGTGGACTAGACATTCCACCCTCGCTCGTCGTCCCAAAAAACGCCAAGCGACCTCGAGAGAACGCGAAAACTCAACAAGAATAGTTATCGAATGAGTATAAAGTATATTGTCGTTGTCACTTACCTACGTACCTTGGAAAAAACCGCTGAGGAGGCCGAATCATTTGTAAAAACTCAAGCCTTCGACCTGGGGGGCTCAAAATCTGGCCAATTATGAGCCTACTCTGAAAATCGTACTTTATTGACGAGAAAATCAATAATGGTTTGAACGTTCTACGGCTTTTTAAGCAGTGTATTGAAGCATACCGTATTCCACTGCAATTTTGATAAAATATAGTTTTTGCAGGCAGAACTTTTATCCGTTACCATGTTCGGGACCAATTGGTACCTATATCCAGCATATTACAAAGACATGATGTTGTTTCTTGGCAAAAGCCGCTTAAAAGTTATATACTCAGCTGGAGGTTTGTTTGATTTAAATCGTCAAACAGGAATGGCTGTAAGTTTAATTCAACATTTTACACAATTCTTAAGTAACTACCTCAGATTTCAAGTGGCCAAGCAAACTGGCTATGCAAGACGACGCCTAGAGAAGGCCCTGCTCAAATACAAAATGGTGCACAGAATGGAAACGATTTGAATTATGTATTTTCAGTTTCACACATATATATATATATGAGCAGTAGTCTTTGCCAAAGCCAACGACCTGTTGGGCACACAATATAATAATATGGAGCCTTCATCAGGATTCTGAAAGCACAATTGTGATGCTAGCAAAGAAAACAGGACAGATTTAAATTGTCAGACAACTTACTCGTCGGTGAGGTTGCAGCCACAAGGTGTTTCAAAATGAACGTAGAGAAGATCGAACTTGTAATCAGTATAAAAACAAAAGGGCAGGGACATTGGGTTTGTTGTAAAACGACAGATACCTTCGTTACATGTTAAAAATATCAATCCACCCGAACAAATTAAAAAGTATTACACGTGAGAAGACATTTTGGTGAAACAATCGGAATGCAGTCTCTAACCTTCTACTTCCGCTACACGTGGAGAGGGGGACGGCACGGAAAGATAAAGCGTCGACAGATGACAAGTGATTGACGCGTCAATTGTGTTTTCAGAATCCTGATGAAGGCTCCATAGAGAATAACGAAAGCTTGATTATATCGTCAAAAGAGTCAACTTAAGCCTAAAAGATTTGCCAATTTCCCAATTAACAATTAATTATATATATATATATATATATAACGTCGATTCAAGTTTTTTCTCAGAATTTCCTTAATTCTGGTCATAATGTCTCTTTGTCAAACAGACATCGAAAACAGAAAATTTCCCATTGTTGAAAGAGAAGCTTTCGAGTCACATTTAGGGAAGAAGTTCTGCTAAATAATAGTAGTCACAAAACAGTAAGGACATTTCTTACAAAAGTTGACTTGGAAAAAATTCATTCAATTCACAATCAGCTACATACACACTTTAATGGTGTGCAAAAAGTGAACTCCAATGACTACTCGATATGCTGGGACATGTTGAAGGATGGAAGGAAAATATAATCATAATTTGAAGCTTTGTTTCCCGGTACATAGCAATATTTCCCGAAGTTTTCATTTTTATTGAAAGGGCCATGAGAAACGCTTGTAGAATTTTTAATAATGGGTGATTCATTTATAGGTACTGTTTTCATCAACAAAATAAAATAACAACATTCTTTTTTCTTGTCAAATCTTTTTTATTAAAGAAAAGAACTATTTTTGACATTTATTTTTTAAATATTATTTCTTTCAACTGTTGGCCCTGACTGCGGTTGAGATGGTCCATTCTAAAGTTCCAATTTTCGATGACACGTTGGAGCATGTCGACTGCAATTTGGCGAATGACCTGCGTAATGTTGGCTTCTAATTCCTCAATCGTATTGGGCTTATCAATGTAGACTTTGGACATAACGTAGCCCCAAAGGAAAAAGTCTAGAGGTGTGGTATCACATGATGTAGGTGGCCAATTCACTGGTCCAAATCGTGAAATTAAGTGTTCATCGAAATGTTCTCGCAATAAAGCCATGGTTGCACGGGCTGTGTGGCAAGTGGCGCCGTCTTGTTGGAACCAAATGTCATCGAGATTACGGGCTTCAATTTCAGGCATCAAATAATCCGTTATCATGGCGCGGTAACGATACCATTCACAGTTACGTTCTGACCGGCCTCATTTTTAAAAAAATAGGGACCGATGATTCCACCACTGGATGTAATGGCAGCTCTTGAGCCACTTCGGGTTGTTCTTCACCCCAAATACGACAGTTTTGTGTATTAACGTAGCCGTTAAGCCAAAAATGGGCCTCATCGCTAAACAAAATTTTGCTCGAAAACATCGGATCTTCTTCAAGCCGTGCAAAAGCTCAAAGACTGAAACGATGACGCTTTGGAAGGTCGGCCGGCTTCAATTCTTGAACGAGTTGAATTTTGTATGGTTTCAAATTAAGATTCTTACGTAAAATACGCCAAGTTGTTGAATACGACAAGCCAAGCTGTTGAGAACGACGCCGAATCGATTCTTCACACGGTCCTCACGTATACTCTCAGCTACCGCAGCTATATTTTCCTCACTGCGGGCTGGATGTGGTCAATTTTTCGGGTATTATCCAATAATGAAAATTTAGTTTCAAATTTTTCGACCGTACGGCGAATTATGCGTTCGGTGGGCCGATTATGTACACCATAAGTTGCTCTAAGTGCACGAAACACACTTCTCGCAGAACGTTGATTTTCGTAGTACAGCTGAATTATTTGTAGACGCTGTGCTGGACTAAGTCTTTCTATGTTGAAATGTCGAACAAAATAAAAATGTCAAATTAGTTGTCATGACGCATGCGTCATAAGCAATTACAGCCACATCAAAAAAGTACCTCTAAATGAATCACCCGTTAGATTCACTTTCTATTAGTTCTAGTCCGCAGGGTGGCGCCTAATTATTTCTACCCTTCGCTAATATCACATCATATGTCGGCAGCAAATAAGATCATATTCATATAGCGCCTTATTGTCCTCTGATATAGTAGGTATTTTTTTTTTCAGGCACTGAAGAACATGGTATCATACAGTATGTTCCTACACACCATGACTCAATTGGAGGCAACGTAAAATCGTTTTTTCTTACAACCATCGTGCTATTATAAGATTTTATACCCTGACTGATACATAAATATTAAACACTTTCATATTCTTACTCATCTAGTTTTATTAAATCCTGATTTGCAATGTTGTTCTTCAAATTAAAATTAGGATAGCAATCATCAGCCGCATCGTTCAAAATCAACTCAAATCACCCTTGTTCCCTTGAAGAGACGACACTGGTACGTTCGATCATCGTCAGTGTCCGGCACATCTTCGGGTCAACACATCGCGCGTTCGGCATTAAATTCTCGCAAAAAATCAAGTGCGTTGTGGAAAACTGGAAATGTGTATGTTAATTCCTTATTATTATTTAGTATTATCATTGAAGATGAGACTGAAAGAAACGTCGGAGTGTTCAGTGTTGGGCTTTGTAATTTTCCGAGTGAAGATGACATTTTAAACTTTCGTTGCTTTTTATTAGAAGTTTATTGGTAAGTTATAGCTCAATTAGAAATCTGCATGTTTTTTGGATATTGATTACAGTGTTATAAGGGTCAAAATTTCATTCAAGTATTTACCATCAAGATAGGTATACCTATGTAAATGGTAAATATACTTACAATAATGTTATCTCAGGGCCGGAATCAGTTTTCATTCTTCCTTTCAGTTCATTAATTATGGTAATAATCATGCGCGGTCTTTACTCTTAGCATGTTTGTTGATTTTGACTGGTTTTAATGTTTTATGACAAGTTTACGAGCTCATCAGTGGAAAAACAATACTTAAGGCCGCACAATCATCTTGAATTGCAAAAAGTTGTGTATAATATAAAATATTAACGCAAAAATGCAAACTTCTTATAGAATAAGCCGACGGCTTCGCACGCATGATAGTCAATAGTGTAACAGGCAAACAGGATGCCGCGCGGCATCAGTTCTTCGTCCATTGTTCAACAGCTGAATCGTAGTGCAAAATCCACATTGAGTTAGCAAATAAAGCCGACTATAAGTTTCTCGGGATAATAAGTATAACTTGGCGAATTTTCATGGAATTTCGTGCCCCATTGCTATCGGACAAACTTCCGATTTCAATGTTTTTTCACTTGAAACTTATAGAGGGTAGTCTGATACATTATTTTAAAACAAGAAAAGTGTGGATACAGCACTTTTTTCATGAACATTTTTTCCCAAAACACTGTATTTTTAACAGTTTTTCCACCATTAACTCCACCGCCATCTGACGTTGACGTCTGTGCATATGTCATAGTATATGAGAGGCGCTTGCCTGCACTGTTGCCAGATTGGGCTCCGCATTTAGGGGAAAATATGAAAAGTGGAAAATTTATATACGTATAATATATAATGAAACACAAAAGCGAAAAACTGAAACAAACAACAGTGGCAAAATAAAAAGCGATGCTTAATAATTATAAAACAAAACATAACAGTGGTAAACTAAAAGACAATTGTAAATAATTATAAAAACAGTAAAACAAGAAACAATTCCATGTAATTATAAAAAAACAAAAAACAACACAGTAAAATAAAAAGCAATTCTAAGTGATAACAAAAACAAAAAGTAAAAACAGTAAATTAAAAAACAAATCCAAAAACTAAAATGAACAGAAAGTATTCAATATTAAAAGGTATACTTTGCGGCAATTTGTCGCAATATATTTTTGAATCGGTCTCCGGGTCTAGGACCATAGAGCCCCCACCAAATCAACTGGTCAATATATTCGGGTAAATGAGGCGATTGCATGACACCCAGCCGCCTCAAAAATTGCTTTAATCTAGACCAGTGCCCTTCAATTTCCTTAGTGCACACTCCTGTCACTGGATCCACAAAATTTAGTGTGCGGTTCAATGTTTCATGGATGTAGGGGGTAACACCTCCTAGGTTCCCCAAGCGATTGTAGCCGGCCCAACCGTCCTTCCAGATTTCTATTATCGGCTTGACAAATTTTAGTATTTCGCTCTCAAGCGTAGTCGCACGTTTCGTGGAGACATCGAAGAGGCCCAGGACCCACAGTTCCCTGTGTTCTTTACTGTTTTTATAATTATTTACAATTGTTTTTTAGTTTACTACTGTTATATTTTGTTATATAATTATTAAGAATCGCTTTTTATTTTGCCACTGTTGTTTGTTTCAGTTTTTCGCTTTTGTGTTTCATTATTTAAATATACGTATATAAATTTTCTACTTTTCATACTTTCCCCTTAATGCGGAGCCCAATCTGGCAACAGTGCAGGCAAGCGCCTCTCATATACTATGACATATGCACTGACGTCAATTTTCGTAGTAGTAGCATTTATGTAAGATCCCACATTTAGGCGGCGTACGCAGTTAAAGTAGCAAAAATTCATAAACCGTTTTACTGACGATTATTGTAACAAATGAATGAGATCTTTTGAGCATAATATAAAAATTGAAATTGTAATAAAGAAATGAATCAAAACGGTCGGCCTATATTTTCCAAACTCTTCTTCTGTATTTAGAATGTGTAAATCGAACACTCAGAGTTTAGAGCCTCTCGACTCGACAGCCGTTCCGTCACCCGGCGGCGGTCAGGCTCTGATCACGCCTATGAGTCATTACAGTTTTAGATAGTTACAGTATAGTTACTTACAGACCGTGAACTGATGGTCCACCCTTGGTCATCAATCGAGGGAACAACATCGAAAATAAAATATGTTTTTCGAACATCTGTGGGATTAACAGCGCAACATTGATGCTGTTCATCACTATCTGCAATCCAATCGTCCCGCCGTGCTTTTCTTGGCGGAGGCAAACATCTCAGAGTCTGCACCGATTAACCATCTTAACTTCCCAAACTACGAGGTGCACTCCAATCTGAGAAAGAACGGGGGAGTTGTGGCTTTCGTCCGCAGCAGTCTTTCCGACACAGAGATGTTTCTTTGGAATCAGGCCGGAAGGACATTCTGTGGCTTCGCCTTAACTCCAAAACATCACCCAAATTTGTCGCTCTCCCTCGGACCATAACTGGGATGACCTACTCGAATACCTCGCCGTCCAGATCGACTTCCTGAACATCAGTCACCCCGCTTCAGAGGTAGTTCTTCTCGGTAATTTCAATGCCCATAATGAGCTTTGATTGGGCTCAAACAAGACCGATGCATTAGGTCGTGCAGTCGAAGCGTTCGCTCTTACTCAAGGGCTGATCCAGCTGGTGACGAGCCCTACTTTTTTCCCCCGCGTCTCGTCACACGCCAGTAGCCTGCTGGATATCTTTCTGACCACGCATCCTGTCCCTTACAGCACTGCTGTCCTGTCCCCCGTTGGTAACTCAGATCACGGTGTTGTGGAGGTTAGGTTTCGGTCAAAACCCGCTGTGGCAGCAGAAACTCGTACAGGCCGCAAAACTTGGCATTACGGACATGCCGACTGGGAGGGGCTCAGAGACTTCTTCTGTAGCTTTCCTTGGAGTGATGTCTGTTTCACTGACGCGGATGCGTTCTTCGATGAGCGAAATTATCCACGTCGGACTGGAGTGTCTAAACCAGGGTCCAACGGCTGGTTTAACAAATCGTGTGACACTGCTCGCCAGCAGAAGATCAAGGCACACAGACCTTCTTAGAAAACCCGACTGTAGAGAACAGACAAGCCGACGTCGAGTCCAGAAACAAATATAACGAAGCGGTTCGCAATGCCAAAAATCAGCAGGATATAAAAGTTAGGCACAGGGTAATGTCGCAGCGCAATGGCAGTCGGTCTTTTTGGACGCTGGCAGTGGCGGCTCGTGCCAATTCAGTGAGGTAGTGCCAGAATGGAAGCCATAATTTTGAATCGATTCAAAATTGTAAAGAATAACTTATAACTTACCCCTGATAGTTAGTGGTCAAAGTTCTTGAGGTTCAATAAATCTATATGTCCAAAAAAAAATCAAAAATAAAACTATTTACACACGCGCACCAAATTATAAAACAAGTGTGGAGAAGTACCTATAACTTCAAAGTTTTCTATACATGAAGTCCATTCTTCTTTCTTTTTTGGTAGCAAAGTTTTCGATTACCTTATTATTAAAATTTTCAATGCCACTTACAAAATGTTATTCTGCAGACAGCATTCCTAAAGCACTAAGCCTTTCTTCCTTCATTGTGTTTCTGAGGAAAGTTTTAATCCGTTTCAGCATTGAAAAAGAGCGTTCTGCTTCAGATGTTGACATCGGTATAGTGATTAAAATACTTAAGAGCTTAAGAGTTTCTTGAAACGTACAATTTAATCCTTCCTCGTTCAATAAAATGGATAGTGGAACAGCTCCAGAAGTAGTACTCAATTCTTCTCTCTGATATAATACTTGTAACTCAGTTTTAAGCCTGTTTTTGTCTAAAAATGAAAATTGTGTGCATGTGTCATTTAAATGTGCTTCAGGAAACTGATGTTTATAAACAGAAAACTTTTCAGACACAAATAAATTAGAAGCAACTAAATGTCCAGAAAAGTTAAATCTTGTTTTTATTTGCGATAATACTGCATCGCATATTTCTAACGTTTTTTGCTGCCTTCTTCAACTTGCCTTTTTTTTCTTGCCGGTTCATCAGTTTCTCTCTGCACTCGTTCAATCTCGTCAATAATGCTATCCATTTGTTCTCGTATAGTTTGAATTGCTGCTTCAAAATTCTCTAAATCATTTTTGACCTTAACAGAATCGGTGCATACTTTTTGTAATTGGTTAAAGACAATTTCAACATGTGGCATTATTTTATGGAATATACTTAGCCAAAATACAAAATTTGTATCTTGCAGCTTTAATTTGTACCCACTGGCTTGATTAATCGACGAAGAATCGCGTGAAGTACTTTCTATATTGTCCATAACTTCAATCAGGTCTTTCCTATTTTCATAAACTGTATGAACACCTCGTGACTGAAAATTCCAACGTGTTTGGGAAGATCTTGGCAATCTGCAATTAACTATTTCATCCAAAATTTTTGTTCTTTGAGGAGACGTCGAAAAAAAAGAGCACAATCCAGATAAATTATGGAAAAATATTCTAGCCTGCTTATTGACAGAGCATGCGCTTGTCATAATTAGATTTAACTGGTGTGCATAGCAATGAACATAATTTGCAAGTGG